GACTATAGACTAGACTATAGACTAGACTATAGACTAGACTATAGACTAGACTATAGACTAGACTATAGTCTAGACTATAGACTAGACTATAGACTATACTATAGACTAGACTATAGACAAGACTATAAACTAGACTATAGACTAGACTATAGACTAGACTATAGACTAGACTATAGACTAGACTATAGACTAGACTATAGACTAGACTATAGACTAGACTATAGACTAGACTATAGACTAGACTATAGACTAGACTATAGACTAGACTATAGACTAGACTATAGACTAGACTATAGACTAGACTAGAGACTAGACTATAGACTAGACTATAGACTAGACTATAGACTAGACTATAGACTAGACTATAGACTAGACTATTGACTAGACTATAGACTAGACTATAGACTATACTATAGACTAGACTATAGACTAGACTATAGACTAGACTATAGACTAGACTATAGACTAGACTATAGACTAGACTATAGACTAGACTATAGACTAGACTATAGACTAGACTATAGACTAGACTATAGACTAGACTATAGACTAGACTATAGACTAGACTATAGACTAGACTATAGACTAGACTAGACTAGACTATAGACTAGACTATAGACTAGACTATAGACTAGACTATGACTAGACTAAGACTAGACTAGACTAGACTATAGACTTAGACTATAGACCTATAAGACTAAACTATAGACACAACTTAGATTATTCTAGTTATAGTTTTGACTATTGTATAAGCTATGAGAAAATACTATTTACTTTTGAATAGTGTAGAAAAATGTAAAATTGTAGACATTTTTCTACCTTAGTTGCTCATCACGGCTAATAAATTTGAATAAATGGAACACATTTACAAAACACCTTTAAATATTTACCCCTACAATCCGTTATTTAGTCTTATACAAATTAACTTTTTTACACACACATACATACACACATATCCTTTTTTATGGTGACGTAAAAATGTTAAAGAGTTTCATTTGTATTAACAGGTGAATATTTGCAGAAGTGTGGTGGTATTTTTGAGGTTTTTATAGTTGTTGCTTTTGTTTTGTGTTAAAGGGGTGGGGGAGGGTAAAAATTCTTTGTCTATTTGTTTATTTGTCATTTACTTTTATTGTCTTAGGCAGAAAAGTAAACACATAAGTATGTATGTGTATGTGAGGGTGTAAAATATTTGAATTAATATAAAAAAAGAAGTTTCAAAGTGTTGTACATGTGTCACATGTTTAAGTTATTTTACTTGCGAAAAGACAAAATAAAGAAAATAAAATGTTGAAAAAGGGTCTAAAATTACCAAACATTTGTTTGAATTAAGGTGAAAATATATAAAAGAAAAGATATAAAGACAGTAAAGAAAAAAAAAACTTATATGACACTAATATGTTGGGAAAGTTAAAAGGATCTTTTTTTTTTGCTAGTTAGTTCAAGACAAGAGTTCGAGGTAAATATTTACTTAAACTTTTCTTTGGGTCTAAAATTTTTGTAATTAAAACGTAGTTAGCAAGAAGTATAGAGAAGAAATAGTTTAATGTTAAGATAAATTTAAGCAAGTTCAGTTTTTTGGGAAGAATTTTAAAGAATATTTTTGCTGTGGTTAAGAGAACTCAAGCTTTTTTTGTTGTTTTTAAATATATTTCTTTAAAATTTTTTATATTGATATTTTTTTATATAATCTTTGCAAATTTTGTCAACTTTTTGCTGTTAAAAATTTTAACTTTTCTTAAGAAAATCTTTAAAAAAACAAAAAAATAAAGAAAAATACCTCACGACGTATGAGTGATATTAATTATGGTTAATATTTCAAAGCAAGCCGTTAATATATCTTTTTTCTTATATTTCTTAATATTTTATATACTTTTTATAAAGAATTTATGTCAAACACTACCACAATAAAAGAGCTGCTAATCTCAAACTATTAGTCTTCGAAATATTTAGGGCAAAAATCCCATATTATTCTTCTTAATATATTACCGGAGGAGTTGGTTTAAAGGAAATTGTCACCTTTTATCATGAAAAAGGAAAAAGGTGTGGAAAAGGTATGCAAATGTGTACTTTATAAAGCTTTTTTTATATTTCAAAAATGTCATGATTTTGTTTATCAACTTGTTTAACATTCCATAAAGGTTTGGGTTTTGAAGGTTTTGCCATGTTTCTTAAACCGGAAATGAAAAAGAGTTTCTTTAATGGTTTTTGGCAACATATCAAAGTGTTACAGACCGCAACATGTTTGAATATGATTTACAGTTTTGATAAAAGAAAATGGAGTGAAAAATGTCTAAAGAATTCATAAGCATATTAAGAGATTAAAATTTTCGCAGAAAAAAACTCAAAGCAAATAATTCTTAAAAATTTGCCTTAGGCGTATGAGTTATAAAAAAACCTTAACAAAGCAGACCTTAACCTTAAAGTTTAAATTTAAACTTTGTTAAACTTTTCAAGTTTTTGCCAATAAAAACTTTTGTCAATATTTACGTCTTTTGACCATAAATATTTAAATTTGCTTGAACTTAGTTCAAAACAAACAACCACTAGAAAAGCATCAATAGCGACAGTAAATAACAAACTGCCATTAAATTGAAAATAATAGAATGAAATAAAAAAAAAAAAACAAATAAACAAAAAGCCCATTGACCGGAAGACAAAAGAAACCGAATGACTAATAAACCAGTAAAATCTGCCAATAAAACAGAAAAACAAAACAATAAACTTTTTTTTGGAAACAATTTAAATACAAAATAAACAAGTGCAGAGACAATTGGATAATTCCTTAAAAGCTTTTCCCAAAATGTTTTATGAAGAGCTTTCCTAAGAACTTTTTTAAAAGCTTACATAATTTGTCTAAAATCTTTATTAAAGCTTTCCTTAAGGCTTTCTTTAAATCTTTTCCTAAAATCTTTCCAAAAAGTTTTATTAAAAGTTTTACAAAAAGCTTCATTAAAAGTTTCACAAAAAGCTTTTCCAAAAAGTTTTATTAAAAGTTTTCCAAAAAGCTTTATTAAAAGTTTACCAAAAAGCTTTTCCTAAAAGCTTTATTTAAAGTTTTCCAAAGAGCTTTTCCTGAATGCTTTTTTAAAAGCTTACTTAAATGCTTCGTTTAAAATCTTTCTTTAAAGATTTTCCAAAAAGCTTTCCCTGAATGCTTTTATAAAAGCTTACTTAAATGCTTCATTTAAAATCCTTTTTTAAGCTTTCTTTAAAGCTTTTCTTAAAAGCTTTCTGTCTTAAAAAGCTTTCCTAAAGGTTTTTCGTAAATGCTTTCTCAAAGGCGTTTCTAAGAGCCTTTTTAAAGACCTTTCCTACTAAAAGCTTTTTCTAAGTTTTTCAAAAAAGCTTTCTTAAAATATATCCCTGAAAGTTTAAAGACTATTCCAAAAAGATTTTTCTAAGAACTTTCCTTAAAGGCTTTTCTTAAAAACTTTTCTTTAAAGATTTTCCTATAAACTTTTCTTAAAAGCTTTTCCTATAAACTTTTCTTAAAGCTTTTTCCATAAACTTTTATTAAATGAATTTACTAAAACCTTTATTAAAAGCTTTTTCTAAAAACTTTTCCTAAAAGCTTTTATTAAAAGCTTTTCTTAAAAGCTTTTTTCTAAATAGCTTTTCCTAAAAACTGTTCTTAAAAGCTTTTCCTTAAAACTTTTCTTAAAAGTTTTAGTAATATTTTTTTCTAACAGATTTCTATTAGAGCTTTTTTAAAATCTATAAGGCAAACGTTTTTAGAGAAAGCTTTTTAAAATGCATTATCCAAATAGCTTTCCTAAAGGATTTTCCTACAAAATTTCTCCTAAAATCTTTCATTAAACTTATTTTTCTTTTTCAATGAGAAAAGCTTTTTTGGACAATTTTTGAAAAAAAGTGTTTAAAACATTAAGAAATTATTTTTTAAGATTTTGTAAGAAAAACGTCTAACATTTTTTCCTTAAAATTGTTCCCTAAAGCTTTATTTAAAGCTTTAACCAAAAAGCTTTCCGTCATATAATGTATTTTCTATCTAAAACGGGTTGTCGTAGCTATTTCTTTAAAAGCTCTCTTAAAAACATTAAACGTTTTAGAAAAAAAATATAAAAATATCTTAAAAACATTTTATAAAAAAGCTTTCTTAAACAAAGCGTTAAAATATTTATTTCTTTAAATTTTTTCACTAAAGTTTATTTTTTTTTTTAATATTTTTAAAGCTTTTTTCTATTAAAAGCATTCTTGAATAAAATCTTAAAATATTTCTCTCTTTAAGAATTTTTTAAAAAGTTTACGTTAAAATATTTGTTCGAAAAGCTTTTATAAAAATGCTTATTTTAAAGATATTTTATTAAAAGTGTTTCTTGAAAGCTCTAAGAGTTTCCTTAAAATCTATTCTTCTAAATGAATTCATAAAACATTTTTCGTAAAGTTTAATTCGAAAAATATTCTCAAAGACTTTTTACAAAATGTTTTTTAAAAGTTAGATAGCAGCTTTTAAGAAAGCTCTTTTAAAGATTAAAGAAAAATGTCTACGCATTCATTTAAAACCTTTCAAGAACTTTTTTAAAAGCTTTCTAAATTAATTTTTGTAAAAATTTTCATAAATATTTTGCTAAAATTTGTCTATATGCTTTCATAAAAGCTTTCACTTTTAAAAAAGCTTTTTTTCGAAAAATATTTTCAATGTCTTTTTACAATATGCTTTCTTAAAAGCTTCATTGAAGCATTTTTTCTAAAAGATTTTTTCTTAAAAGCTAACTAACTAAATGTTTCAAAAGAAAAGACTTGACAAGAGATTTCTCTGCAAAAGCTTATTTACTTACGCAAATGCTTTGTTGGTAAGAGCTTTCTTATTAAAAGTTACGTAGCAAAGCTTTCTTAACAGCTTTTTAAACAAGAACTAGTTAAAGAAATTATGATTTTAAAATTTAATCATTCGCTCAACATACATAAACCCATCATAGTTCTACATAAAATTAAAAACAAAAACATTCGATCAACAAATAGAAAATCCAATAACTCACCTAAAATCCGCTTTTGCATAACAATGACCCAAAAATCGACACTGCAACGTATTGCATTGATATTCCTTGACCGGTTCCACCTCGTATGTCATATTGAAACCATAAACATCCAACAAACGATCCAAGGCACGCAAATGTGTGCCATCCAACGATGACATGCGAAAACGTATCTCCAAATATTGTGAATTGAATTGTACCCACGCCACCTGCGTGACATCGTCTTCGGTGAGTGTGAAGACACGATGAGCGGGCACTTTGTAATCGTCCGAATAGTACATGTATTCAGTGAATTTAAGGCCACCCAAAACGTACAATTGGGTCAAATATACAACAATCGATATGTTGTGACCAGAATGTGGCATCAGTTCGGAGGCATCAATAATCCAAACACATTCAATGGGGGTGGTGAATTTATGTGGAAAATTGGGTGTCTGTATGACACCATGTCGTGCCTTTAAAATGCCACCACACGACAAAGATGAAGGTGTTTGATGGTGATGATTTTGGTTTTGAAATGCAAAAGCATTCATTGATTTACCAACAGCACCAACACCACCAGCTGAACCAAATGGCGAGAGATTGAAATTGGTATTAGGAAAGGGCGGTGGTGGAGGCAACGGCACAGAGGGTAAACTTAATTGATGATGATTTAAGGCTGTTAAATCGTACGTTGAAGAAGTCATAGCCGTTGAGCCGGAAGTTGATAAATGTTGACGTTTTAAACGTTTCATTAATTTACTATTGGCTTTCAACCCACTGTCCGTTATTTTCTCTTTCTTTTCCATTGTTTGTATTCGGAGTTTAGCAACATTTTCTGTTGGTTTTGGTAGTGATGATTTGTAAACGACATCTGTTATATTTCCTAAATTAACCGATTTATGAAGACTATCCGTTTTATTGTTTTTGAGACTTTTTACATTTTGTTTGATAAATAAATTTGGTTTATTTTTTAGGCTCTCTGCCTTAATAGTGTGTATAAGCGTTAAGAGAAGCAGCATAAAGAGCAGCTTTAAAGTCAAAAATGTCGTCATCGACATTGACTTTTTATACTCCCTCTCTCGATTTTCGTAGACATGCACTTGTTGTTGTGTAAGAAGTTTTAGTTTTCTTGGGTATTTTTTTTAGATCCGGGGTGATATGCTAAAGAAGGAAGTTTTGAATTGGTCAGCGATCATTAGTTTATTTGGGATTCGGAAAAATTTTACTTTAGTAAAGAATTGAAATCTGAAAAGAAAAATAAATTAATTTTAATTAATGCTCAATTCAATACTTCATGTTTTATTTAAAAATATGTAAAGTACGAGGGGCGAGAGCTTGACATTTCTAATATCACTATGGACTTTAGTCCAGACTATAGACCGGTCCATACTTCAAACTCTAGATAAGATTATAATTTAAAGTAAAGACTAAGTAAAAAGTAAACTAGACTATAGACTAAATTATAGACTAGACTATACACTAGCCTATACACTAGACTATAGACTAGACTATAGACTAGACTAGACTATAGACTAGACTATAGACTAGACTATAGACTAGACTATAGACTAGACTAGAGACTACACTATAGACTAGACTATAGACTAGACTAAAGACTAGACTATAGACTAGACTATAGACTAGACTATAGACTAGACTATAGACTAGACTATAGACTAGACTATAGACTAGACTATAGACTAGACTATAAACTAGACTATAGACCAGACTATAGACTAGACTATAGACTAGACTATAGACTAGACTATAGACTAGACTATAGACTAGACTATAGACTAGACTATAGACTAGACTATAGACTAGAATATAGACTAGACTATAGACTAGACTATAGACTAGACTATAGACTAGACTATAGACTAGACTATAGACTAGACTATAGACTAGACTATAGACTAGACTATAGACTAGACTATAGACTAGACTATAGACTAGACTATAGACTAGACTATAGACTAGACTATAGACTAGACTATGGACTAGACTATAGACTAGACTATAGACTAGACTATAGACTAGACTATAGACTAGACTAGACTAGACTATAGACTAGACTATAGACTAGACTATAGACTAGACTATAGACTAGACTATAGACTAGACTATAGACTAGACTATAGACTAGACTATAGACTAGACTATAGACTAGACTATAGACTAGACTGTAGACTAGACTATAGACTATACTATAGACTAGACTATAGACTAGGCTATAGACTAGACTATAGACTAGACTATAGAGTAGACTATAGACTAGACTAGACTATAGACTAGACTATAGACTAGACTATAGACTAGACTATAGACTAGACTATAGACTAGACTATAGACTAGACTATAGATTAGACTATAGTCTAGACTATAGACTAGACTATAGACTAGACTATAGACTAGACTATAGACTAGACTATAGACTAGACTATAGACTAGACTATAGACTAGACTATAGACTAGACTATAGACTAGACTTAGACTAGACTATAGACTAGACTATAGACTAGACTATAGACTAGACTATAGACTAGACTAGAGACTAGACTAGACTAGACTATAGACTAGACTATAGACTAGACTATAGACTAGACTATAGACTAGACTATAGACTAGACTATAGACTAGACTATGGACTAGACTATAGACTAGACTATAGACTAGACTATAGACTAGACTATAGACTAGACTATAGACTAGACTATAGACTAGACTATAGACTAGACTATAGATTAGACTATAGATTAGACTATAGACTAGACTATAGACTAGACTATAGACTAGACTATAGATTAGACTATAGACTAGACTATAGGCTAGACTATAGACTAGACAATAGACTAGACTATAGACTAGAATATGGACTAGACTGGACTATAGACTAGACTATAGACTAGACTATAGATTAGACTATGAACTAGATCATGCACTAGACTGGACTACAGACTTGAATGCAGACAAGACTACAGACTAGACTATAGACCAGACTATAGACTGGACTAGATATACTAGACTATAGAATACTAGACACCTGTCCGCTTAATTTTTATATGAACGACAATAAGCTTTAAACTGTTTTTGTATCTTTTCTAGTTAAGGAGATATGAAGTTACCGAATTTGCCCGGTTTTACCCTTTTTACCCCTTAAACATTCAAATTTCTAAAAATTCCGTCTTAGTGGATCTTTTTGGCGGGAGACCAATCTCCTATTTATAGACTAGATTTCCGCTGTTTAGCTTCAACCGTTTAGGCTGTGCGATGATGAGTCAGTCTGTCGGTGAGTCAGTAACGTAAGAATTATATATATATATATAGATAATAAGACTAGACTATATACTAGACCATATTAGACTAGAAACAGCACTTTTGACTTGTTTTTTAACTACACTATTTACTAGTCTATAGACTAGCCTATAGACTAGCCTATAGACTAGAGTATATACTGTAGATATCTCTTCATATTCAAATATTAAAAAATTTTTACATATGTATATGTATAAACCTGTACTTTATTAAACTCCATCATGTATCCATTTAATTTTGAAAACAATTCTGAAATATTACGAATTTACTTACTCTTTCCAATTTCTCTATTCGGATAAAAAATTACCTTTTTGTAGTTTTTTACTATTGCAATTTGTAAATAAATTTTTTAGTTTTTTATTTTCATAAAACATTCTTTATGCCGTAACAAAAAATATGGACTTTTATTTGAAATTTTATTTTATCGACTTTTTCACATTTGTTTTGCAAGTTGTTTGAATATTTCTTGTCAATACAATTTTATTTATTTGTAATTGACTTTTAATGTTGACATCAAAAGACAATTAAAAATATTATTTAATAAAAAACGATTGAAAAAAAAAGTTGTGAAGAAAGTAAATAAAGTTTCAAGCAATAGAACTGATAAGAACTGGGAGAGAAAAAGTTATGTACACAAACAAAAATGTTTGGTGTGGCTATACAATTTTTTATAGGAATTCAAATAATGAAAAGAAAGTATTGCTATGAAATACTTTATTTTCATATCATTTTCATGATAAAGTTAAACTGTTATATAAGGTGCTAAAAATTTTCAAATTTTAGCCAATTTTCAAATTAAATTTTTATTAATGAAATTTATAAATGTTATTTAATTAGTTTAAAATACAAATTAAATGTTATGTTTAAAAATTTATTTTTTATTTTTTTTTACTGGATAAAAAATAATACAAATTTTTAAATATGTATGCCTAGAGCGTATGATAATTATAGTCTAGACTAAAGACTAGACTATAAACTTGACTATGGACTAGACTATAGACTGGACTGTAGACTAGACTATAGACTAGCCTATAGACTAGACTATAGGCTAGACTATAGACTAGACTATAGACTAGACTATAGACTAGACTATAGACTAGACTATAGACTAGACTATAGACTAGACTATAGACTAGACTATAGACTAGACTACAGACTAGACTATAGACTAGACTATAGCTAGACTATAGACTAGACTAGACTAGACTATAGACTAGACTATAGACTAGACTATAGACTAGACTATAGACTAGACTATAGACTAGACTATAGACTAGACTATAGACTAGACTATAGACTAGACTATAGACTAGACTATAGACTAGACTATAGACTAGACTATAGACTAGACTATAGACTAGACTATAGACTAGACTATAGACTAGACTATAGACTAGACTATAGACTAGACTATAGACTAGACTATAGACTAGACTATAGACTAGACTATAGACTAGACTATAGACTAGACTATAGACTAGACTATAGACTAGACTATAGACTAGACTATAGACTAGACTATAGACTAGACTATAGACTAGACTATAGACTAGACTATAGACTAGACTATAGACTAGACTATAGACTAGACTATAGACTAGACTATAGACTAGACTATAGACTAGACTATAGACTAGACTATAGACTAGACTATAGACTAGACTATAGACTAGACTATAGACTAGACTATAGACTAGACTATAGACTAGACTATAGACTAGACTATAGACTAGACTATAGACTAGACTATAGACTAGACTATAGACTAGACTATAGACTAGACATAGACTATAGACTAGACTATAGACTAGACTATAGACTAGACTATTAGACTATAGACTAGACTATAGACTAGACTATAGACTAGACTATAGACTAGACTATAGACTAGACTATAGACTAGACTATAGACTAGACTATAGACTAGACTATAGACTAGACTATAGACTAGACTATAGACTAGACTATAGACTAGACTATAGACTAGACTATAGACTAGACTATAGACTAGACTATAGACTAGACTATAGACTAGACTATAGACTAGACTATAGACTAGACTATAGACTAGACTATAGACTAGACTATAGACTAGACTATAGACTAGACTATAGACTAGACTATAGACTAGACTATAGACTAGACTATAGACTAGACTATAGACTAGACTATAGACTAGACTATAGACTAGACTATAGACTAGACTATAGACTAGACTATAGACTAGACTATAGACTAGACTATAGACTAGACTATAGACTAGACTATAGACTAGACTATAGACTAGACTATAGACTATACTATAGACTAGACTATAGACTAGACTATAGACTAGACTACAGACTAGACTATAGACTAGACTATAGACTAGACTATAGACTAGACTATAGACTAGACTATAGACTAGACTATAGACTAGACTATAGACTAGACTATAGACTAGACTATATACTAGACTATAGACTAGACTATAGACTAGACTATAGACTAGACTATAGACTAGACTATAGACTAGACTATAGACTAGACTATAGACTAGACTATAGACTAGACTATAGACTAGACTATAGACTAGACTATAGACTAGACTATAGACTAGACTATAGAATAGACTATAGAATAGACTATAGTCTAGACTATAGACTAGACTATAGAGTGGACTATGGACTATACTAAAGGCTAGACTATAGACTAGACCATAGACTATAGACTAGACTAGACTAGACTAGACTAGACTAGACTAGACTAGACTAGACTAGACTAGACTAGACTAGACTAGATTAGACCAGACTAAAGACTATACTATATACTAGACTTAAGTCTAAGCTATAGACTATAGTATAGACTAAACTGTAGGCCAGACTAGATTATAGACTAAACTGTAGATTAGACTATAGACTAGACTATATTCTAGACCATAGACTGGACTATTGACTTGACTATGGACTAAGCTGTAGTCTACACTAGTCAATATTTTCTTCCATACACTAAACTGGATTTTTTAAATAAGACAAGTAAACCTTGTACTATGTGGATATTTTGTCCTTTTTTGAAATGCTTCTTCATATTACAAGAAAAAAAAAAGCAAAATTCATTCATGTTCAAGGAAAACAACCAACAATTATAATAAAAAAGCAACATTAAACAAAAGAAAGCAAAAAGAGAAAAAAGGCCTACAAGTTTAGGGCCAAAATGAATAAATATGAAAACACAAAAGAAAAAGAATTTATAAAATTAAAAATTACGAATGTAATTGTCTATATACGAAGGGATGTTAACATTAAAAGTAGCAAAAGCTGGTAAAAGTATGTTTTTATATATATAAGTACATACATGCAAAGTGGTGTAAGTATGTGTGTTTATAGAGGTTTGTAAGTTTTAAAGTAAGATTATGCGGAAGTTTGCTTTTCTGAGGTTTTCCGGTGTAGATGATTTAGCATGTTTAAACATACACATAGAGGTAACTGCAAAATCTTGGAAGATTCTGAGTAATAAGTATGTAGAAAGAAAAATTCCTGAACTTAAACATCATTTACTTATGTATGTATGCTGCTGCTCTTCCGTTTGAGTGGTTTTTCTAACGGGTTTTAAAGAATTTTTTTTACTCATTTTTTTTGATAATCTTAAGGATAATGAATGTTTAGCTGTACCTAAGTGTGTGTGTGTGAGGGAAGTAATGTTTAAGTATGTGTTAGGTTTTGGATCTTGATTCCCTTGTATGTACATACATACATATGTATATAATTATATGTTCATATTAGTAGCTATTTCCTGTGAGCTGTTTAGTTATGTCAAAGTTGTTTGTTATTAAACTAAGAAAATGATACCTGAGACATGTTATGTTGCTGTGAAATTTTCAATTATTTTTGTTTGTGCATGTCTTCCTATACACATACATATGTAAGTATGTATTTACATAAACTAACATGATGTCATACCTTTACATTTTCATTAATACTTGCAACATATAAAAGCACGTTCTATTCATTTAAGTTTTTATACCCACCATCAAAAAGATGGGGGGTATATTGATTTTGTCATTCCGTTTGTAACACATCGAAATATTGGTCATAGACCCACAAAAGTATATATATTCTGGGTCCTCATTAAATTCTAAGACGATCTAGCCATGTCTGTCCGTCTGTCCGTCCGTCTGTCTGTCTGTCTGTCTGTTGAAAGAACGATAGAGTCCGAATGGAAAGAGCTAGAGGGTTGAAATTTCACATAAATATTTCTTATAGGTAAGGTTTGTTTGGTATTGAAAATAGGCAATATCGGTCCACGTTTTCGGATAGCCGCCATACAAGTGGCCCCTCGAAAAGCAGCTTTAACAGCCATAACTTGTTTAAAAATACGAATATAGCGATGAAATTCGACATAAGTAAGTTTCTTGTGATCCAAAATCACTGTGCAAAATTTTATGAGGATCGGTCTATAATTGACCCTACCCCCCATATAAGGTCCCCTTCAGAAAATGACTTTAACGCTCATTACTGGCTTAAAAATTCTAGTATATAGATGAAATTCGACATAAGTAAATTTCATACGAGTCAAAATCTATCTAAAAAATTTTATGTTGATCGGTCCATGATTGACCCAACCCCCCATATAAGGTCCCCTTCAGAAAATGACTGCAACGCTCATTAATGACTTAAAAATACGAGTGTAGCGATGAAATTCGACACAAATAAATTTTATACGAACCAAATTCTGTCTACCAAATTTTATGAGGATCGACCCATAATTGACCCTACCCCCCTATATAATGTCCCCTTCAGAAAATTACTTTAACGCTTATAACTGGCCTAAAAATACGAATATATAGATGAAATTAGACATAAGTAAGTTTCATTCGAGTCAAACGAGGTTTGATGGTGGGTATATAAGATTCGGCATAGCCGAATATAACACTCTTACTTGTTAATCTTAACATTACCAACATTTCTTACTTGGAGTAGTTGTTACAACGCTATGACAGGTTATATTATATACTCAAAGTTTTATTTCCTCCTGACAATTCTCTAAAAAAATTAAGAAGAATTACTACAAAAACACTTCTCTTGAATCTAATGGTATCATGTAGCGTATTACATCTTTCCCTCTGTATTAACATTTCAAAAACTTTTCTTATTTCAAAATACTCGTACATCATCAAATCTTTGAAAACATGTCTGTTAAAACTTAAAATAAATTAAAACGGATGTTTACCAACATTTTCTTAAGATGTGACTGCCTTTACGGCTGCTTGTTGCTGTTGTTGTTTTAATGTAAGCCGGAAGTTAGAAATGAATTTTAAGGCTTCAATCTCTTTTACACATTTTTGGCAGCAAATAATTAGATG